GTGATTCGAGTCTGCGGGATGCTTCAAGGGGAGAAAAGCTTTTTTCCCGTTTCAAGTCTGCCCTGACAGGCCTTGCTGTGGACAATGGCAACGCTCTTGCGGACGACCTCGAAGCCAATCTGTTTTCGGCCCAAAGAAGGCGAGCCATCATCTTCTGAAAGACCCTCAACGGAGTGTGGTACAATTGCGAAAGGGTAAAAAAGCCGAATCGCGCCGGCCGACCGTGACAGTTGGCCCCATCTGGCACAAATGCACATGCATGCAAGTGGCAATTTTGCCATTTATGCACAATTCACGTGTGATTTGCCAGGTTCCACCAAATGACAAATATTTCCTGTTGCTACGCGTGCATTTAGCGTGAAACTTCCTCTGCCCAAAGTGCCTTGATCAGCTGGGACTGGGTCGCGACCGGAGAAGAAGACAGTTTTGAGTAGAACAAGTGAGTAGGAAAGGGATAAGATTGCAGATGTCTGTGCAAAGCGGGAGGCACTGCCCCAGCTTGTATGATAAATGTGTCGCCTTCTGATTGGCTCTTGTCGGTGATCTGGCCTGATGTGATTGGTCATTCTGATGCATCCAATAGTAAGTTCGTATGCGGCTGACAAGAATTTGATTGGTCGACAGCCGCAGTGCATGTGTCAGGCAGAGGGATGTTTGAATTTGCGCGAAATGAAACAGTTTTGACCATTTCCATGTGACCGGTTCACTGAGAACGGATTGAAATGGCGCATTACACCGTATCGGTTAAGAGGGTCGGCCTCGGTCGTTCAAATGCGTCGTCGAGGCGTTGGGACACGGACTCATTTTGCAGTCGTCCATACGTTTGGATCTTGTGCAACCAGTTTTTCCCAAATAATTGCCTGCAAGCCACAATGCAAAGTGCAAGAGGAAAAAAAAACATGTATTGAACTGGCCAAAGAAACCAAAGCTGGTAATCTATACGGACGGATGTTCAGTCGTGGCAACGTGTAGTGCACAAACTTTGTGCGATTTGTCCATACAAATTTGGGCAAAACAAGTAGGCAACTTGCTCCATGTTTTTGTCTCTGTTTCTGCCTATCTGTATGGTCCGTCGGTTGTAACCATTAGATACGAATTAGGTCTATAAACAATATTGCACGGAGTAATTTTTCCCAACCAATAAACGTCCGCGTAAGAATGAATGGCGATTTGTAGAGTTCAAGTTGGACTTATTAGCGTAAAAGTGAAGTTTACAGACCATGTCACGTGGTTAACTCTAGTCTCGATGGGAGAAGAGGAGTCTTTTTTCTCACATGGCCCCGGTGGTGCATGCTCCCACGGGTTGGGGGCTAAAGTATCTTCTTCGTCGCAGAAGAGATTTTATGAAGATGGTGTCCTTGTCAGGCCTGAACATGAAAGAGACCAACCGACTTTTGTGAAGCATGGTACAGTGACCAACTTAGACGAAAGCATTCCATCAGGGTCGGCTAAAACTGTAAAAACGCACACACACACACACACACACATACACATGTGTACATATATATACACACAAACAGGCACAAATGCTGGGTAAAGTATGCACACACAACAAACACATAGAGAAAATCACACAGTCCAAAAAGCCAGAAGGAGAAAACAAAGTGATGACTAAACCTACTCGCCACTTTGGCACACACACACACACATGCACACAGCTTTAAAGAGAGAGAGAAAGAGAGAGACAAACTCGCATGCATACAAGTACATCTCGAGTGGGGCAT